TACTGAAACTAAGAGCTAGAGCATCTCAAGGGAATTCAGTTACTTGAATTTAAATTTCTTTGATTTCTAATAAAATTGTATGTTTACCTGCCTTTTAAACCTGTTGTATTTTCTCTTTTAGAAATTATTTATAATACAAATCCCTTGGTCTCTGTATACTATTTATTTTCCTTGCAGTTTTTCAGTTTCTCATGTCTTAAATACACTGAGCTTTTGCTTTAATGGAAATTATTTCCTATCACTTTACTATCTGTTCTTTAACTATAGTCCTTTTGTAAAAAACATTAATCCTTTAATTTTTCCTTTAGTTTTTGCTTGTAAGCTTAGAGAATCCTTTTCTTGCTCCCAACCCTCTTTTTACTCATGTGAAAGTTTTAATTCCAAAAGGCTTTGGAAAGTATCTCACATAAAACACACATAGATAAGAACATCAAATAATATTAAATTATTAGACACACTGTAGTAACATGGCATGTTAAAATAAAAAAAAAAACATAGGTAAGAATTAAAATAGTATGGAATAACATTTAAAAATAGTATCCATTTATCTTTTTTTTATTAAATATATTTTATTGAGTTTTTACAGAGAGGAAGGGAGAGGGACAGAGAGCTAGAAACATCGATGAGAGAGAAACATCAACCAGCTGCCTCCAGCACACCTCCCACTGGGGATGTGCCCGCAACCAAGGTACATGCACTTGACCGGAATAATGAACCTGTGAATGGCCTGTGCTATCCTTGGGACACTAAGCACTGATATTTTCACAAAATGTTTTGATCTAAAGCAGGAAATTTTACCAGTAATTGTAACCTTAAGGTAATTTTGCAAACATTCACCAAAAATGCATTTTCACTTTTAATCAAAGAAATATCATTATTTAGGTCACCCCAGTGAAAGTACACAGGCCTGTGGCGCTGCCTGGCCCAAGTGAGTGGGACATCAGGATGGGGGCGGGGCCTCAGTGGAGAGATCTCAGCATGCCTGTCTGAAGGTGCAGAGAGGAAGGGAGAACACATAGGCATTTAGGGGGTTTAGGCCAGGAGGGGAATGCAGTTAGGGCTATCAGAGGAGCAGATAGAGGCATCAGGCAGGCAGGCAGGTGAGTGCTTAGGAGCCAATGGATCTGGATTGAGAGAGAGATCCAAGATTGGAGAGGTTACAGGCCAGGCTAAAGGACCCCCACCCCCACATGCATGAATTCCGTGACCAGGCCACTAGTATTCTATAAAATGGTCCAATTTATTGAGTCATTTTCTAGATTTGCCTAGCTTTCTTTCTCACAAGCAATCTAAAGAATAAAAGGCAATCTGCAATGCAATCCCTCCTCCCTAGATACAAAACTAGTAGATTCAAAATATAAGTAATTGATAGTGCTTTGGAATACTGCCTTCTAATTGCGATAGTGCTTTGGAATACTGCCTTCTAATTGCAGCCAGTTTAAATTCCTAAAATTCTCCCTGTCCAGTCCCAACTGGGTGCTATTTTGCAAGTCAATTGTATCATTGATAAACAAATAAAAAACACACAAAATCACCTTGGGTAGTGAATTTCTAATAGAACAAAACTCACCTACTCTGCATTTTCTCAGGCATTTGACAGAGCATTTTGAAAAGATTCAGAACAACATGCATATTTCATTTAAACATTTATTTTTAAGCTGTTATTCATCCAATCCATGGGTATAAGTATTCCAGGAATATCTATAAATAGTAACTGATATGAAACTCTAAGTATGCATCTTCTTGGACAAGAATAAAAATTCTAATGAAATAAACTTTCAGTCAATTTTGGAACACATATCCAATTCTAAAATAGAGAGTGCTCCTGAATTCAACTGACAACTACTGCAGCACATTTCCATTGGCACAAAATGGAAAACAAGTCCCCTTTATTTTTAATTATCTTATGAAGAAGGTAAGTATATTCCCACAACCACTCCCTAGTCCAAGCCACCATCATTTCCTGCCTAAAACCCCAACAGAGCTCCCTTTGCTCTATTCTGACCTCTCTAGTCCTGTCCTGCTCTTACAGTAGAATAATAAAGTACAAATTCCTTATTTTGGTCTACAAAGCCCGTGAGCTCTACCTCTGCCTCATCTACAGTCTTATCTCCTCCACTTTCCCTTCCTGTTCAATCTACTCCTACTCACATTAGCCTTCTTGTTCTGCTGTGAAAGTAAACTTGGTCTCGCCTGTAATCTTTGAACTTACTGTTTCTTCTGTCTGAAAATCTTTTACCTCATTCTTCAAATAGCTGACTTAAGCTTTCGGATTTCAAATATAATCTCTTCAAAGATGCTCTACCTTACTCTTGGTTTTAACATGTACCTGACTTCTCATCTAATTACCTACAAAAATGTGAATATGCTGATAATTTTCTATATCATCCTATTCAGTTTCTAAAAACATAACAATGCCTTGCATCTATTAGATTTATCTTTTACATGTTAACATTAATAAAAAACTTTTCTTAAGAATTTTAAACTGTCATGACTTATATGACTTTGACAATCTAAAACAAAGGGGCCGACTAATAAAAAAAAGAAAATCTATCTATTTACACACCCATTTGTCAGTCTACCAATGTTGGGAGAAGAAATAGAACATATAGCAGAAAAAGCAATAGCGGTTATAAAAGAACCCCAAATTTAGTTACCCACAACTAACTTACACAAGTCAACTTCATTTTTCTAGACTTTGATTTGTATATCAAATGGGTTATGTTAGATAATTTTAAAAGAAATTTCCAGTTGTAAATTTTAGTCATTTGAAATATATACCCCAAATTAAATATCATTAATATTCCATTAAATGTGCATCTTTAATAACTTGATCACAGGGAAATAGACATTTCAATCACTCAGTTATGGATTTTCTATCCATTTGTAGCAATAGATTATTTGTGCTCTAATTTTTCCTTTTGATATCTCATCTTAAATGTCTTCCATTTCCTATCCGAGAGTAGGGAAAAGAATATTATAAGATTACACTGAATTATGTAGTCATTCCTCCTTTAGGAAATAAATCTACTTCTGATAATGATATATGCCAAGATTTTTAAATAATACAGGGGTACTAAAAAGAATCAGTTTTTAACACATTTATTTGGTAAACATGTGTTACTACTGTTTTCTAAATAACATACAATAATAAATTTGTTGCACTTTCTGTTAAAATTAAATCCAGCCCAGATGGTGTGGCTAAGTGGCTAGCATTGACCCATGAACCAGGAGGTCACTAGTTCAATTCCCGATCAGGGCACATGACTGGGATGCAGGCTTGATCCCCAGTAGGGGCATTCTCATCATTAATGTTTCTATCTTTCTCTTCCTCTCTTTTTAAAACAAATAAAAACATATAAAAAATGAAAATAAATCCAAAAATTTCTCATGGGAGCATTACTCAGTACTACTACACTAGAAAAAAGATCAGAAGTATGATATAGTATAAAGGTAATAATAATACATACATACAAAGATAAAAGTGGGGAAAGACAGACCAGCCAGAATAAAAGGAGATTAAGGGGACTAACTCTTCAATGAAATAGTGATATTTTCCATTTCAATTCAAAGGAAGCAATGATAAAGTTTAAAAGAATTGGTTGTGAAAAATCTAAAGCACATAATAAAATGATGGGGAAACAAACTTAGAAATGCAGTTAAGTATAATCAGTTTGAGGCAAAAGGAAATGCTGGCAGCAAGATAAGGAAAAAACAACAACAAGCCTATTTCATAAGATGCAATGGCAGAAGGTCCTGCAGCACTCAGAGTGAATAATCATGGGACTATTCTAATGCACAGGAGGGGTATCCACAACAGTATCCACGAGAAAATCCTAAGTTAAAATGCTTCATATAAGAAAACCTGTAATAATAAGGTCTGTAGCAAACTTAAATTAGTCGACTGCTATCTGAACCTGGCAGTGAAACAAAAGCAGAAGTGGTTAGGCAATAAGCTGTGTGAAATTACATGCTGTGTTATGCTGGAAAGATAAAGCATCCCAAACCTCTAAACATATCCAAACAATATAAATAAACACATGGGCTTGTGGTTGGTTCAGGGTATCCTCCATTTGACCATTTCCATGTTCCCACTCATAGACTGTCACTGATTTATTGTTACTCATTGGAGAATGCAAAAACAAATTAAATATTGTATAAGCATATTAGCTTCAATTCCTCAAGATTTAATTTTCATCCACCTTTAAGTTTACTATTTGATAATAACTGACACACAGCAAAAAACAGTGGTAAAAAAACATGTTTGTTTGTTTTACCCCCCAAGGGATCAGCAAACGGAAATGTTCTGTGGCTGACTGAAAACCATTCCAACTGCAAATCTGGTCGAAATAAGCACATCTTTCACAACAACAAACAAGCTATATTACTTCGCCTCCCTTAACACATGACTCACTACTAATGACAGAGTGGAGGATGACAAAGTTGTTATGTAAGTTCACCCTGGTATGATTAAGGCCCAGGCTACACTGCATTAGAGAGAGCCATCCTTTACACTTTGCACAGTGGACCCTTGACCTCAGTCTCAGGCATGGAGAGGCTGGTGTGCATCCATATCTTCCACAAAGCAAGATTTTGAAGCCAAAATGTAAACCTCTAAAACTTCAAAATGACACATAAAAAGTGCATTGTCATTTACAATGAAAAGAGAACCAGTAGTTGGATTATATACGATACATCAGGCCAGGAGAGAGGTGTTTTCCCAACAAGATTTCATTAAAACTCCACAGTGATGTTGAGTGAAACAACTGTGAAAATGCCTTCCCTACCAAAGTCCTATGAAAATGACTAAAGGAAAACATAGTGGATAGCCCTCTTTAAGATACCCATTTTGAGTGAGAAGGGAAGACTATCGAATGAGGCTAACTCGGCAACAACAAAATCATTGTCCTCCCAAATTGTTCTTTGCTAGCAAAACCTAAAGCTCATACCAACATTAGCAGGAAATGTGGGGGACATGGGAAAAACTCTCGACCACTCACCATAATGCATGTAACAGTTTCCTTTGGTGGGATCCAGCTCAATAGCCTTCAAGAAGAACTTTTCAGCCTCACTCTTACGACCCTTGAAAAACAAAGAAAATGGATGATTCAGCAGTGGATCATGAGGGATTCTTGTCCTCCTAGGCCCCAGTGAAGTGGACTGATGTCTACTTGATAATCATCATAAAAATGTATTGTTCTTATCTGAACAAAGATGATCAAGGAGAATGTACTGAGAGAGAAGACTGAAGCAGGAGTTCTGGGAAATACCAAGATTAGAAGAACAGACAAAAGTTCAATAAGAGCAAAGAGAAGAAGCCAGGCAGGGAAGAAAGAAAAGTAAAATATGGTTTCAGAGAAACTGAAAGAATAAGATAGATAGAAGGAATAATGAGAAACACCATCATTATTGTTTACTCTATATTCTCCCTTCAATTGCTTCCTTTTCATTCCTTCTTCTTCCTTGTAAAGAATTATGGCCATTTTAGCTTTGGAGAGGATTTATCCTAATTGCTCACTTTCTACATGAAGAAAATAGTCAAATTTGTTGAATATCAAACAATTCAATTTATCTTGGACTTGCTGCTGCTATTCAGGACTAACATACTGCTAATCCAGGATTCAATCCAAAATTAGGTTATCTTCCTAGCTATAGCTTTAAATAAACATTACTACCTGCATCTATGCTGACCCCAAGTGGCATCAAAGTACTGGGTAGTGTCCAGTAGCCATGGTCCCAAGCTAAACACACACACACACACACACACACACACACACACACACACACACTCTTATCTACTTGTTCCTTCTAATTTATATACTACCTACTACATGAACTTGAAATGATTTTTTTTCTTTTTTGAAACCACTCTTACAAAGATAAATCTTCCAAAACTAGAAGTTTTTTTTTTCTAATTTCCTACCCTACATGCAACTTTAATTCATTTTTCCATATACCTTCCCCTTTAAGTTTTTTCTCTTATTTAAAAGATTCATTCTTGCTTACACATGCTCTGCTCATTCATTTCCTAGAAGGAAAGACCTAGCCTACAGCCTCTGCCACCTATAGCTAGTATTCACCCAATAATCAGAAAACTGAGTTCATTTCTTCTTTTACTTTAATAATGCTACTCCAGTCAAGAAGCCCTCTTTAACTCACACATCTCATCAAATATTCAGCAGTTAAAATTTTAATTCCCTCAAATATTTCTCCCAACATTGTAACTTCAAAGGGAAAAAAGGAAAACACAAGCAAAATACTTCATATACATATCATACTTCCATGAAGTCAGTAAAAATTCGCAATAATCTTACCAAATTAGGATTCTTAGATGATAAAATTACTGTAATGAGTCAGTCTAAAATATGAATTAAAAGCTAGGTGCCAGGCAGGCACAGCAGCACCCACATTTGTGTAGCTATATGACCATCAGAAAGTTACATTGAGTGGCCAGATTATTATGATAACTGAACCCATAATAATCTGGCCACTCTGTGTGTGTGTGTGTGTGTGTGTGTTTTTAAGAGGCCTGGTGCATGAATTCGTGCATGTGTGGGGTCCAGCCAGCCTGGCCAGGGGAAGAGGACATGGGCAATTGCCCGGCTTGCCTGCTGTCCAAACTCCTGGTGGAGGGGACAATTTGCATATTAGCCTATTTGCATATTAGGATATACAGTGAGTGGCCAGATTATTATGCGTTCAGATCATAATATGGCCACTTAGTGTATTTCATCCCTTAGCTGGAATTTCTCTATTGCAAACCAGAAGATAGATGGAACACAGTAAATACTCATTATGATACTATAAGAATGAATACAGGTCATTACACATTTGTAAAATCCCATGGAATATATAACACAAAGAGTGAACCCTAATGTAAACTATGGACTTTAATTAATAAGCAATGTGTCTGTATTAGCTCATCAATTGTAACAAATGCATGTCACTAATGAAAGTTCATAATAATAGGAAAGCTATGTGAAGGGTGGCAAGATGGTGAGGGAGCATATGGAAATTATCTGTACATTTGATTCAATTTTTTATATCTAACACTTCTCTAAAAACAAAGCATATTATTTCAAAAGAAGATAATGAAATAGTTCAAAGGATATTAAATTTCTGAGGTAACACATATAAAATCATTATTATATACTTACGTACACTGCAATTTTATAATAAATGTTAAAATTATTATTTTATATGTACATATATAGTGTGCAACAGAATGCAGAATTCTGAATAACAAAGAATATGTTCTTTTATACACACCGCCTCAAAAACACATGGTCAGCTTTAAATAATCACTGGAAAATGTTGTATAAAGAACTTGCAGATGATATTAAAAGAAAGATGCACAAAGAAAACTATCATTGGTAGAGAGTCTGTACAAATATTGTATGCAAAGATAAAAAGGATCTGTGAACTTTCTTCCACTTAAGTTTTTTAGGACATAAGAGAAACAACTGGTTCATTTATCAATGTCATAGTAAATAGGGTAGTAAAATCCTCATCTGTAGTCAACTGGCAAAATAATCGTATACAGCATTAAAAACAGCCACCAGAACGCAAAGGGCAGTAGTCTCTGGTTACTCCGGGGACCAGGTTATTAAAGCCAATGGGTACCACCAGTAACTAACTACAAAATAAACACTGAAGGACAGAACACTCTTTCTGGGGGTATCAGACCATCATGCAAAAACCTATCTTTTTGCCTTGATTGCTATTTATTTAGTAAAGTGCCAAATAATAAAGAAGAAAATAATATCCTAACAAGAATATACAAAATCAAGAATGAACAAAATTCATAAGCCATATAGATACACACATTACTAGCTCTTACGAAGAGATTATGGTGGCTGAAAGATAACACTCCACTCAGTGACCCCACTTCTAGGAATATATCCTAAGAACCCTGAAACATCCATCAGAAAGAATGCATGCACCCCTATGTTCATAGTTAATTTACAATGGCTAAGATCTGGAAATAGTCCAAGTGCCTGCCCATCAGTAGAGGAGTGAATAAAAAAGATATGGTACGGTTACACAAGGGAATACTATGCAACTGTAAAAAAAGGATGTCTTACTCTTCGAGACAGCATGGAGGAGACAGCTGTCTTACTCTTCGAGACAGCATGAGAGTATTAAGCTAAGCAAAATAAGCCAGTCAGAGAAAGACAAGTATCGCATGATCTCACTTATATGTGGAATCTAAGTAACAAAATAAACTGATAAATGGAGTGGATCCAGAGACATGGAATCATGCAACGGAAGGAAGAATCTCAGAGGGAAGAGAGGGAGTAGGGTGGGAAGATACCAACCAAAGAACTTATATGCATAACCCCATGGACACAGAAAACAGTGTGGTAGGCCTGGCAGGGAAGTTACAGGGTGGAAGGGGTTAATGGGGGGGGGGAGGGGAAGGGACATCTGGAATACTTTCAACAATAAGGATGCATTTTTAAAAAATTACTCTTTCAACTACCATTGCTTTAGAGGGATGATAGTTAAGAAGAGAAGAGAATAAAGGTTTCTCAGCATGTTTTCCTGGTTGTCTTTTAGATTACATCAGCATTTCCTAAAAGCATTATGGAGTAACCACTGGCTGTACAAACTCCTCAAATCAAGCACCATTACTCATTTGGTACACTGGCTTGGATTTTTGGACATGTGTGTTGGTTCAGAAAGAAAGAAAAAGGGGAGGGGAGAGACTGTGGTCAACTGTGTCAAATAAGGGAAATGTAAGTTAAGAAGCTCAGGCTCTTCTGCCAGTTCTGTGACGTTTATTTGTTTGTTCCTTTATTTTTGTAGGTTAAAGATTATTTATTGAATGCCTACCATTTTCCTTACACAGTTCTGAGTACCAGGGATATAACAATGAACAGAGTGCTTGCCCTCTGTTCTAGTCACAGGAGGCACATAATGAACATATTACCCAGTAGTAAAGGGATTAATTAGTCCCAGAGCACAGTGGGCAAACCATTTTTCCAATTCTCTTTCAGAGAACTAGCCTAGACAGACAAGCCTGTGTTTGAATCTTGCTCCCTCTACTTACTGAACTGTGTGACTATGAGTATCTTTTGTAATAACTGAGTCTCTTTTTCCTCATTTGGAAAAGTAAACACAGTTGTAAAGGATGGCTAATAAAATCACAAATAACTAGCTTCAGATCTGGCATATAAAGTTCTACCGTTCTTTGGTTTTTCTTTCTTCTATCTCTTAAAAAGAATTCGTCCTCCCAAGTTTAATGTCGCCAAGTGGTTCCTAATTACCAAAATTCAAAAATCCATTTTAGAATTTCATGTCATGGTAGCAACTAAATTTCACTATTTTCCTACAAAATGACTCTCACTACTAACGCTTTCTCCTCTCTCAAATAAAAGCCTTTTCAGTTCACATCTAGAGTGCAACAATAGATTTCAGATTTCCTCACTGAATTTCATTTCACAGATTAATATTTCTTAAGCAGAACTGTTTTTGTGATGCCCTTATCCAAAAATATTTTAATAACTCCATGTTTCCACTTTTTTCCTTCTATTTTTAAAATAATTTTTATTGTTTAAAGTATTACATATGTTTCTTTTCCCCCACTGACCCCATTCAGCCCATCCTAGCCCCCTGCCGCAGGCCTTCAGCACCGTATTGTATGTGTCCATGGGTTATGCATATATGCATACAAGGACCTTGGTTGAATACTTCCCATCCACCCTCCCCTCCCCCGCCCCCCGAGATTTCACACTCTGTTCCATGCCTCTAAATCTCTGGATCCACTCCGTTTATCAGTTTATTATTTTGTTGCTTAGATTCCAACATATGAGTGTGATCATGTAATACTTGTCTTTCTCTAACTGACATTTCACTTAGCATGATACTCTCTGGATTCCTCCATGCTGACTCAGAGGGTAAGAGATCCCTCTTTTTTATAAATGTATAGTATTCCATTGTAAAAGTCTTTCCTCCTCAAAAGAAAAGAAAAAAATCATTTAAAAAATCTAACAGACTAATTCCTACAAACCAAAATGATTTACATCAAATCACTTAATTCTTATGTCCCTTAAAGATACTAACTATACTCTACCAGAGCT